AGGGGGCAATCATGAGTCTGTACCCTCCTATAACAGCCAAGGGTGTTTCTTTCTCCCTCCCTTAAGGGAATATGGGTTCTTCTAACAAGGGTGGAATAAATTAAATTCTCAGTAGACCAAGGTTTTTGCTCTCCCTATATCGGCAAAATAGGGAGAAGTAATCTATTTAGAGGCACGTAAGGGGACTCTGACGTCACACCCAAGGCTGGCCCATCAAGTGGTCTTAGGTGTGGGAGTTTTCAGGACACTCTTCGCATATGATTATAACAAAACAAAAAATAAGCGTTCTTTATCTGAAAGTAGCTGCAGTTCACCAACAAGGAGTTCCCTCACCCTTGTGAAAAACAGATCGACACAGAAAACAAAACAAGGTGAACAGCGCTGAAGATTCAAATTACGTACGTAAAGGGAGAGGACGGTGTAAGGAAACCTAGTATATTCAACTACTCATTCGGTAGTTTCCTCCCGAACCGCCAGAGCATCAGTGCGTATAGCTCTCCGTTCGGTAGATGAAATAGACAAAATCCATTCGAATACAAATAGCTTTATAAGATAATTCCCTTGATAAAGCATACGAATCCCTAAACATCAGCCGAAGTCAAGAAGAAGGGTGTAGCGGATGGCACTGGGCTGTCCTGAGAATTTCATGTATTTGAATGCATTCGTGTGAAAACAGCAAAGTTCTATGTATTTAATGTATTGTATTCGTCTGAATGTTAGGTAGTTTCATTCCCTTAGTTTGTTCGAATGAAACTACCGAACAGTCAGACCTCCCCTGTGTGAAGTGTGCCTTCAATTACCTGTTGCAACATTGTTGCGAACGGGTAATTGACAAGTTAAGTAGCCGTCCTTTGTTCTCAGGGGTGGCCGCCATTCGGGAAACGAACACGTGGCGGCGGCCATTTTAAAACTCCCGAACAGCGGTGTTTTGCCGTCGAGTGTCTGGAACTCAAATTGGGCACTCGACTAGGCGAACACCGCTGAGACCTCCACAAGCCCGGTCCGTTCGGTTCCAAACTAACGAACGGCTTTCGTATAGTTTATTCCCTGACTCCAGGAACGACCCAGGGCCCCATCGCATGGAACCCCATTCGGCTGTTCTCTCCCGTGCGGTCGGTCATTTTATTCCCTCCATAAATTTCCCGAACCCCTGGTCTGATCTGGGTGATTTTTGGATATGTTGTTCACCCAGATCAGGGCTACCAGGGGGATGTATAATTTAAAGTGGTACCCCTAAGTTTAGGGGTACATCCAGAAACCGGGGGAATTGGTGTCCTGGATAAGGAGATTATGATGCAGGCTGAGGGGAGGAGATGTGTGGGAGGTTACCAGAGTAGGATTGGCTACTGTACAAATTAATGGAAATCTGAATAAATCTTTAGTTCTGCTCCTGATACTGTGTGTCGTCCAGTTACTGGGATTGCTGTTGGGATACTGCTGTGTTATTTTGCCTGCTGGATACTTTACCCTATGGATTTATAATTGCTTATTCCTGAACCTCCCTGGGATATAAAGTGGAGATAGGCTGTGTAATACCAGCTCTCCGCTACAAAGGGTACAACAGAACTGGCTTTTAATGACCACACACAGGCTTTTATGCAAGTCTCCATGCAAGGGGACATCCTACAGGGAGGGACACAGTATAACCAATCAGTTACAGAAAACAGTAAAACACACCCAGCACAAACATACAATTCCCTCCCCTAGTCCTGGAGATAATCAAGTCTGATAAAGTAATAACTTGATTATCTCCAGGCAGAAAAATCACAATTTTCCCCAATATTCAGAACACCCCTTTATACATGGCCGCACAGATAGAGGGTTCAATTGAGCATTCTTTGAAGTTTAACGAGCCAGGGGGGTGGTCTCTGTTTGGTATACATGGGGTACCCCCACAAATAATATGTCCCCTCATAGCCCCGATCTGGGTGACCAACATATTCAAATTTCACCCAGATCGGTTCAGGGGTTCTCAAAAAGTGTGGAAGTCCTTTGTGACCGGCTAACCGCGAGCTGGCTGCCCAAAATAGTTCCAGGAGTTTGGGTGGTTTTGCCGGTCTATTCAGTAAAGGGGTAAAAATCTAATAATTCCATGAATGGATTCCCCTGGCTCTTAGCGGCGATTGTTCCCCTCATTCGAATGCACAAAAGTACCGAATAGCGCTTTTCTAGCTATTTGGGAAATAGAGATCCAGCGTTCGCTTTTTGAGACCAGGTGTTCGGGACGTGGAGTGTCCGATTTTAGTTCCAGACACTTGACGACCAAGTCCCGCTGCCTTTGTTCGCCTGAAAAAAGATGGCCGCTGTTTTATCAGCTACGTTAGTACGTACGATAGTACGAACGCTGGCCGCACAGATAGAGGGTTCAATTGAGCATTCTTTGAAGTTTAACGAGCCGGGGGGGGGTTGGTCTCTGTTCGGTAGTTATATCTACCGAATGAATATGGAAGAAATATTATACATAGAGAGGGATTTCTTCACGGGCGGTATCCAACGATAGATAGATAGATAGATAGATATAGATATATACACACACACACACACACACACACACACACACACACTTTAAAGAGATATAAAAGATCTATTTCATGGGCCTGGACAGATCTGGGTCCACCAACAGCACTGGCAGCCACATCAAAGGGTGAAACTACGCAGCGGATGCTGTGAAACCGTAAAACTTGGGTTTCCAAAACAAATTACTTTTCATCCTGTGGAAAACTTTGCAATGCGGAAAGGGGGTGATGTCCAAGGGGTGGATGATATCTTGACTCTTCGCATATGGCCTTTTTACCACAGTAAAGGCAGAGTCCTTCCCTCCTCCTACATAACTTTGCTGCTTCAGTAACCTCTAATTTATATCTCAGGACTGTCAACTTTGGGCATAACAGATAGCAAGGTGTCCATTTCTAGCATATGGTCTCTCGCTTATTCCATTATGTAGATCAAAAAGATCTTCTAATTTTACAGTGAGTTCTCTGGCAGCTACCTCATCCAATATAGTATCTGATAAACCCTCCATAAATGTTGAACCAAGTTCGCTATTTGTCCAGACTACCTGGGAAGTCAAGGTACGGAACTGGATAGCATAGTCCGCAACCGACCTGGATCCCAGTTTGATGCTCATTAATACTTTAGTAGCAGTTTTTTTTAAATTTATTTTATTAGTTTTAAAGGTCCTGCGAAAAGCTTAAAGAAAACCTTGGAAATCATGAACCAGAGGACTATTTGCCACCCCACTTAGGAGCTGTAGCAGAGAGGTAGTATAATCCACAGTATCTCCGCTGGTAGACAGGAACAGCATAATCCAGGTATAACAAGTACAGCATCCAATAATCCCGGTAGCGTTATAAGAATCCTTCCTTCCCAAGAACTAGACGACACATAGGCTGGGAGTCAACTGAGCTTTTAATCACAGGTCACTGTATTTATGGGATTCCCCATGCAAGGGGTTTCCCTACTGACATTCCAGGGGTGGTACAGTAGGGGACTACATGGGGAACTTAACAATCTGGACATTTCTCCCATCATGCACTGCTGCACGAGAGGGATACTCCCACTAGAATATCCAGTTAAGTGGATTATCCCTCCTTGCAGCAGAACTGGCTTTTTACACAAAAATACATAACTTTAACATTATTCGTGCTATTATACCGAATGACTGTTCGGCAGATAGCTGGGGTCTGAGCGCATACTTCGTGAAAGTACCGAATTAGCCGAACGCCGCACGAAATACACTTAAACATACATTTTTCAACTAAGGCACGAATAGACCAGCAGGGATAAAATACTGAAAAAACGGTGCTCCCAAACGTAGTTCCAGGCACTCGACGACAAAATATCGCTTGGCTAACAAAGGATCCAAGATGGCCGACCGCCGCGTGGTCAGTATCCGAATGGCGGCCACCCTGAACCTCCATTAACTACCGAAAGATACAATGTTGCGATACTTAATGGGAGCCACATGACCTCCTGTTCGTGAAACTACTGTATGAATGCTGGTGGCTTTCATGCCGCCAGCATAAGATTGCTCTCGTTCGCATCAAATACAGACAGTGAATATACTCAGTTCCGATAGCCTTAAAGCTACAACATCCCATTAATGGAAATACAGTCTTAAGTGGCTAGTTTTGCCACAGGCGCCTTATCAGTTAGCTGATGCATGAGAAACCCCACTTTACATCGATCTGTGGGAAGAGATTGGGCATATATCTCCAAGTGGAACTCCACTTAATTGATAAGCTCTCTGCAAGACCTCCATACCTAGGAGGAGGGCTTAGGTGTGCAGACGCATTATTGTGGTTGGATGCCTCTGGAATAGGAGATACGGGTTGAGGTGGTACAAATCCTCAGGGACCAAACAATCTGTTCTTGACAAAAGCTTCTGAATCAAATATGTGAAAAAATTAACAAAAACCAAAAGTGTAAAGCACTTAATACCAAAATTATAAATCGTGCATAAATTCACACAATTACAGCAGCACTTAACAGCGAGCTTAAATTGTGTAAAACATAAAATCTTCAGATGTTCTGTAAATAATAAAAAACATATATAGTGCAGACTATCTAGTTAAGTATATACATATACATACACACATACATACATACACACACACACACACTATATAAAATGCAGGTAGTGTCTGGGATTAAACGCACATTTACCAGAGCCTAATCACCCCTGCCTCTGGGTTTGAGCCAATGCAGCTTGAGAGGGATACTTCCCACAACAGGATAGATATTTTCAATTCTAAGGTTTTCAGCCAGACAGGTTATTCTATATAAACAGGAGAGAAGCAGAGAGGCCAGGACACCAACGGAATAGTATCCATATCTTTATTATAATAAAAAAACGCTTAAATTGTCGTGGGAATTGCCAGCAAGGAAACCACAACAGAGC